GACTTGAATTTTGCATGATTTAGTTCATTTGTTAGATTGTTAACATCTTACACTATATTTCTTTTACTTGAATTTTATTTGCTTTGGTTGAGTTTTTATGTTGATGTTAAATCTTTTAAGCTTTTTTTGTGAAAGAATTGACTCGAGAGTGCATATTTTGTGTTCATGAAAAAACTATTACAGAAAATATTACAATATTAAAGAACTGTTCTTGTTAATTTGATGAAAACATTTTAAATATCCAGTCACTCACATCAGAATAACATAGATTTGTTGTTAGAATAATCGATTAATCGAAAAAATAATCGTTAGATTTATCGATTAGAAAATAATCGTTTGGTACAGCACTAGTTAAAAGACATGTCCTGATCAAAAATAACACCAAGGTTCTTTACATTAGAACTGGAGGCCAGATTAATGCATCCAGAGGAGCTGAAAGACTACAAAGTTGATCCCTAAGGTGTTCAGGTCCAAGAACCAGAACCTCTGCCTTATCTGAGTTTAGAAGCAGAAAGTTAAGAGTCATCCATGTTTTTATGTCTGTAAGACATGCTTGTAGTTTAATAACTGGTTGGATTCATCAGGTTTCATGGATAAATATAACTGAGTATCATCAGCGTAACAATGGAAATTTATCCCATGCTGTTTAATAATTTTAACTAAAGGAAGTATATAGAAAGTGAAGAGGATTGGTCCAAGCACTGAACCCTGAGGAACTCCATGACTAACTCTGGTGTAAGAAGATTCATTATTAACATTAACAAACTGAAATCTATCAGTTAAATAAGACTCCAACCATTTTAGAGCTGTTCCTCAAACCAGTGGACAGGTTTTAATGACACACTCAGAATGATGAACATCTACAACTGAGTAACTCCTGGAATTCACTCATTTTAAGATGAATGCCGCAGTTAATCATCAAATTCATCATTACATTTGTATTCATAAAGCGCTTTAACATCAGTCACAGCTAAATCAAAATGTGCTGATCATCAGTAACACATGAGACAAAGGAAAGCATAAGAATAGTGACACACAATGATAGATTAAAATGTCAATTCAAAACACAATAAAATGACAGTTAAACAGATAAAAACAGCACCAATAAAAGCTGAGTAAAACAAAGTCTCAATTAGGTCAAACTTAGCTAACACAACAGTATCAGTTGTATAGATATTGAGCTAAAGCTTGATGTGAGAGTCATGCTTCTCAGTTTAACTGACTGTGGAAAGATCTTACAAAATCTCACAAGGTTCATTTCAAGGGATTACCAATACTGCTTCAACTCCCATCATTTCTCAGTTTAAGATGATCAAGTTTGAAACTCTATAATGAAAGGTACCAAGAAATGTGAAATACTTAAAAAACATTAGATTTTTCATTTTTATTTTGTGACATTTCTTTCAGGAATTACCCATGAAGAGATGGTGCAGGAATCCAAGAGGCACTGGCAACGACTGGAGCAGAATGCACAAAAGCAGCAGAAGGTGAGGCTTTAATGGCTGCTTTATAATGTTTTCTGTATTATTTCAGGTCTGAGTTTTAAAAACTGGTGTGGTTATGTCAACTGGTGTTTCCATTCATGTTTAGCTCACTCATTTTAATCAAAAACACTGCGTATTTAGTGCCTTTGAATCATTTTACAGTGCTTTCAATATAAAAGCTTTAAAATAGATGAACTTTTGTAACTATTTGTCAAAAAAGGGATATGAGACAATCAAAAATCTTAGCTAAATGCTGGTTGGACAATGACGGAAACAGGACAAGCTTGTTCTGTTTCTGTTATTGTCCAATCTGCATGCTGGTTTGTCCTGTGGAGTCCAGCCCTTCCACTGGTGACAGTCCTCCATCGACACCTGATGCTCTCTTAGACTTTGATGGAAGTCTTTCCCCTGAACTGGATATGCTGGGCATAGATTAAAAATTTTAATCGAGATTAATCTCAAGGTATTTTTGCAATTATTCTCACTTTTTTTTCACACAATCACTTTACTATGGCTGAATATGTAGGTTTGTATACACACTTCATGTGTATTATTATTATGTACAGTTTTTTCTTTTTATCTTCTCATGGCTTATTTTATTTTATTTTTTTATGTTTTACTGACAACTGTGACCTTAGTATCTATCTTCCATTCCTCATGTAGTCCTCATGTGGAATAAAAAGAAAATCCTTGAATTCTTGCTTTAACCTCATTATTCAGCACAAAACTCAACTGACTCAAAGATGTTTGGAGCATTTTTAGGTCCTGTTTTATATTCAAAAAAGGCGCAATGCATTTTAAAGAAACTTTAAAGAAATAAAGCAAAACAAGCCGGTCTTACCTTTTCTTTTTTTCCTCCAACACGCCTCTCAACCTCGTCTGCAGAACCTCCCTCCCTGCTTTCTGTTTTTAAACTGAAGTAATGTTTCAACCTCAAACTGCTCCAGTGCTGAGATGGTTTAGAGCTGCAGAGCTTACAGAGAACTTTGTTTATTGAAACAATCTTATTTAAATTCTTATTCAACTCTGATAGTGACTCAAAATAATCTGAAGAAACATCAGATTCTTCTCTAATTATTGTAGCATCGCTCTGTTTGCATGCAGACATTCCCCTCTGACATCACTTCCTGTTTCTTCACATGCAAACATCTCAACAACTGTTCATCTCAACGGCGTGAAATTAGTTTTGCAACGTTATCAATGTTTTCTTTCCAAAAACACATTCACATTTATTACAAAAATTAGATGTCACAGGCACTTTAAGTTTATTTTTGGTCTGTTTGGTTAGGAGGAGTCCACTTATTACAGTTGTACTTCATATTGTATCCATTCCTCATCAGTATTAATTATAAAAATGAGAGCTCAAATACAAACTGATGTCAAAATGCAGTTTGTGCTCCAACAAAACAGTTTATTTTTTGTTCCTCACTGGAATTGTTAAAGTTCTTTATTCTCCGTCTTTTTTCAGCCAATCCACATACCCCACCTGAGCAGCAGCATGCCTGCTGGGGGGTTCGGAGGACTTGGTTGTGGGGTTGGTGGAGTAGGTGGAGACAGTATAGGAGCAGGTGGGGTGAGTCCAGTAGGAGGTGTTGGGGTTGGAGGGTTAGTCTCAGGTGCAGGAAGGGGACGCCCCCTCAACTTAAAAATGAAGTTTGTCTGTGGTCAGTGCTGGAGGGAAGGTCAGGTCAATGAGCCAGACAAGAACCTCAAGTACTGCACCGCCAAGGCACGCCACAGGTAAGACCTGACTTTGTGTTCTTTGTTGTTAAGGTTACACAGTTCCTCTTTTTCTGGATCATTATTCACATTGTCTTGTTGTAAGCTATTTATTGGATTTTCTGTTTCTTCAGCTGGACAAAAGAGCGCAGGGTGTTGCTTGTGAAATCTTTTGAAAAAAAGAAGTGGGTTGTTGTTCGGCCTCTTCCGTTCTCTCGCTCCTATCCACAGCAGTATGACGTGAGTCCTTTCACTTTCTTTAATTAACAGTTTTGTATTTACTGGTAATGCATTAACAGGTTTGTACAGATTCATGGAACATTAATCATTTATTAAAGTAATACTGCTTGTCTCAACCAGATGTGTGTGCATGTCATGAAGCAGAAGAAGTGCCACTATATTGGGAACTGCTCATTCGCCCACAGTCTGGAGGAGAGGGACGTCTGGACCTACATGAAGAACAACAACTGTGAGTTTTAATTCTTAGGACAACTGTAGGCCTGTAAACATCCAGGAGTGGTGGTGTTAGGGCTGGGAGACATGGCCAAAAATTATTAATGTTTTTGAAGGTTCATAAAATACATGTTATCATTTTTTAAGTGTTGCTTGCTTTTTGGTCAGAATGTCACATGACATAAAAGCTAGTCAATTTTTATATTTCATGTGAACTGTGTTCAGGTGGGAGCACATGGAGGCAAGTTGAGCCTAATCTGACTGTCAGCACAGGACGTGAATGTCTGTCTGATATTTAACCTAAAACTAACTTCACTAACATATGTGAGCTCCCGGCGTTTGACACTAGAGTGTCCTCAGTGCTGGACAACTATGTGCTTGCTGCATCACCACATCCATGTTAAGTTCTGAGCTGGATGTGATGTCATGTCCTGTACAGATGATTCAGGATTAGCTGTAATCCTTGGACCAATGTCCCACATTTCCACATGTAAAACAGGTATCTGAAGCTCATTTAATCCTTCTCTGAATTTTTCCTAATTGTTGCCTTCAGCGACCCCTGCTACACCCAGTGTTTTGCATATTTTGTTGTGGTGGACCCTGCTGTATTTCTGCTGCACAAGTTAACTGAGACATTTTGGTTACTACTTTTATTTCAAGTTGATTAACCCTTTCTGTAAGCTCTCTTATCGGAACTGTGGTAAGCAGTGCATTTAAGAAATGTAACTCCTCCTCTTTTTTACTTTAATATAATGTGCAATTTGTGTCGCTGACAAATCCCCATCCACGCTTTATGAACCAACCACAGGCAGAGCGTCAGTCTGACAGTGTACACTAAGAGTTTGTTTTTGTCAATCGTCAGTGGGTGCCAAGTCAACATCCATATCTGTAGTTTCTGAGTCTGTCCCAACAGTCTGGCTAATGCCACAACCTTGATAAAAAAATTCTAGTTATTGATATTATATGATATTATATTATTTGAACACACACCCGTCCTATCCTAACTGCTCATGTTGAAGTGATTAAAACTACTAAATGTCAGCATTCACTCAATGTTGTTACACAAGTTTTTATAATTTATTCACTAAAGATCAAAACCAGCCTCCTCGTTTAAGATGTTCTGTCTAGAGCAAGCGTTAATTTGTTTTGTTTTTTCCTGTCTTATGGGAAAAGCCATGTCAACCTGTTCATTTCCGCATATAAGAACAGATAAAATATTTTTCTTTATAAAGTGTGTCGCCCAACCAGTTTAGTCTCCCTGGTCAGCCAGGAGAACAGATGTTAACTGTTTACTTCAGCCCCCAAGGTTCTCTCAGCAGTGAAGTTTCTGCCTATGACCAAAGTCTCAAATATGTCTTAAGGACAAAGATTTTGTTCTCAATTGTCTACATTATGTTTCTCTTTTAAAACATGACCCTATGCCTGTAAATACACCCTACTTTGACCAAAATATATATATCACCAGCTATAGGTTACTACACTCTCAATTTAGCTGCAATAAATATACCAAATTCTAAGTTTAGCCTCCTTTAATGAACCACTGATATCTGTATTAAGACAGCAGTAACATCACTCTTACTGGTCTCATCACTGAACAGTTGCATGCACACCAGTCAAACCTGCCACACATTATAACCAACACAAGAAAAAAAACAGTGAATTCAGACACATTAACAACAACCATGACTACTGGATTTATAAAATCTACAAAATCTATAAAATCTGAATTTATAAAATCTATCTATAGATTATTTATTTAAAAAAATAAAAGATATGCATGCCTAATGACAACTGTGGATTTAAAAACCTAACCAGTCAGTCACAAAACACTAACCAGTCTCTTGATAAAATAAACCCCCAAAAATGTGTATTGTATGACTCCTAACGTTCATTCAAAGCATTCAACTGATCGATTGATTTTTTTTCACTCCACGCGCTTTTAGCAGAGCCTCTTTAGTCCACGACGCTAAGCTAACACTAGCTCCAGTCAATGCAACTCTAAGGAGACGATGCTAAACTAAGCTAATGCTAGAAAAGCTAGGCCAGCGCTAGCCCCAGTTAATTCAACGGCTAAGGATAGCAGAGAGGAAAAAGAAATTTTCCCACTCTCCGTCCACAAAATTAGCCGCCGTTAGCCAAGTGGAGTCCCCGCTTCTGGAGGATGGAGTCCCCGCTTCTGGAGGATGNGAGTCCCCGCTTCTGGAGGATGGAGTCCCCGCTTCTGGAGGATGGAGTCCCCGCTTCTGGAGGAGCACACAGGCCTGAAGCCTCTTAACTCGTGTGGTTCCAAACTAGCGTAAGAAGGCAGAGGAGGAGATGGATACAATCCACCATTTGTTTCCTCCTCCTCTGGCCAAGAATATAAAAACTCTCCAGTTTTTTCTGACTGAGATTCAAAGTTATTTGTTGAGCAGCAAAAAGGTTCAGGACGAAGGAAAAAAAAAGACCAGATTGAGCAGCAGGTCTGCAGGCAGAGGGGAGAAGGGAGAAGAGAGGAGGGGGGCTGCTTCAGAACCGATTACCGGGTCAGAACAATGTTTTAGTCAAACAGAACCAACATTAATGAAGCAAAAGGTAAAGAATTAGAGAAAAAAATAAATGTTAAATGTAAATAAATTGTAATTATAATAAATTAATAATAGTTTTACATCTAAAAATCATATTTTATTCTTTTAATCTATTTTCCTCATTCAGCAAACTATTACATTTCTGTTGTTTCATGTAGGAGAAATACACATTTTTTTCAGTCAGTATTTAATACAGCTGGCAAAATAAATTAAAATATGTATTATGTGCTTCTGTTTTTTAGTTCAGGAGATTATAAACAAAATCCTTCATGTTATGAAAAGACCCTCTTGATCCAAGAGAAAACTCCAGTTTTTAAGAAAATGGCTGCTTATCAATTAATTGTTTGTCAATGTATAAGATAAATCAACTTCAGATTAATTAATTAATCATTAACGTACATCCTTAATTTACACAGGAATAAAATTAGTTTATATCTTCTCATATTTGTGTAATTAAGTGTTTTAATGATTTGGCCGATTAATCGATTAACCAACAAAATAATCGACAGATTAATCGATTATTAAAATAATCGTTAGTTGCAGCCCTAAACATAATAAAGTATCAAGAGTTAATCAGCAACTCCTGCTGCAGACATCAGTTGCTTGAATCAGAGCAGCTGAGTTTTTTCCACGCCTCTATTAATTCCATACTGTTCTCTGAAAGCACACGTGAGCGCGGTAAGAGACGGTCTCTGTTCGTGATTTCTGAACTGTCAGGGGGAAGATGAACACGTTATGTGCTGTTCATCCAGTTAGTGGTTTTGTGTTCTTCAAAAGAGATTTAAATGGAGAACTCTGGACTAACATCCATCTGCTAAGTTCTGCAGAGTTCTGATCTCTTACCTTTTTTTTGTTCCGCTCTCGGAGGAAGAGGCTTTTTCCTTCTCTCCTTCCCTTCCTTATCTTCCCTGCTTTGCTGCTGGAGCCTTATCTACATTTTTCATCTGAAACCAGAAATTATGGATATTTTTATTTTTATGGATTTGGTTAGCTGGTCTCTTAATAAATCTTTGGAACAAAGTTTTTTCTTCCATGGGAGGACATGTCAAAGGTAGGACCTCTGTTCTTCTCTGTTCTGGATATATATCTGGACTCTGATCACTGGATTCTACAGATTGGCTTGGTGGTCTCCTGGTGTTCTACAAAACAGCGTCAGTGGCTTTTCATTTCCTGGCTGCCTGACCAATTTGATGGATGGCCGTACTGTCAGCACTCTGACTTTTGCCTTGAGCGAGCTGGACTCGGTCTGCAAGCCGTTCTATTGAGGGTCGAGGGCCGGCTGTGGTCCCTGGACTTTGCTGGCCAGATGGAATTAATCTTGGAGAAGCTGATAGATCGACTCAGCAGAATTGTCCACACTATTTGTCTGATTGGATTCACCACCTTGGATGTACCAGCAGACATTAAAGCAGATGTAAAATTGTTATCGTCTGCCTGACACTTCTGTTCCCAAAACAACTGATTACAGAATCTGTCTCCCCACTACAATGGCCTTGAGCTGTTGGACTAAATTCTTCCTGGATGCTGACATCAACAGAAGCTCTGCCCCACACCCGTCTGTGATCTGGTTCCTGGAGCAAGCTGAGGGCCGCACAGAATGAACAGTTACCATCCATATTCTGAACTATGGCTGCGTGGGTTTTGGGGACTCGATTCTTCGGGCTCATTCTTCAGATATTCACACAAGTGCATACAACACTTATGGCTTCAGATACACGCCCCCCTAAACTCACTCACTCCTCTGGCTAATAAATGTGCTCTATGCAGATTTTTTTATTAACACCATAGTGTGTCACATTGTTGAAATAATATGATGTTTTTTTCCCCTCATCTTTCCTTGTGTGGTTTTTAGCTTTTCTGTTAAGGGTTGCGCCTCCCCGTGATGAAGACACTGATTGGTTGGCCTGATGGATAGAGCTTCATTAGAGCTAAACAACAAAAGAAATCTGAAGCTCCTATGTTGAACAGTTTCTGAGTTATAAGCATTTTTTCATGTCCAGACACCCCCTCTTCGAAAGGAGCCCCCTCCTCAAATATGGGGTCTATTGTAAAACCGTTGGCTGGCACAGTGTAGGTCAGACTCAGCTACAGCCCTGCCAAATTTCATGTTGATCGGTGCAGCTGTTTTTGTGTTACGGTTGACGAAAAATCACTGGGGGAAAAAAACAGTACGAAAACAAAATGACTCCTGCTTACGCTTCGCGTGCGGGGGTCATAATGATGATGAAGCATTAATGAAACGTAGCTACATATAGTGGGTTAAGGTGGCTTTTTCTTTTCATTTGACAATATTGACAATTGATTTTCAATAATTTGCGATTAGCGCTACTCACTTTTAAATTTAGAAAGCTCAAATCTGCACATCATTTGTAAAAAATTGAAAAACCCCTAAAGCGCAAACAAGAAATTTAGGTCCGCTATTAGCGCTTTTGTGCTTTAGGGGACTTGTGCCCAAGTTCAAGTTTATTTGTATAACACCAAGTCACAACATACATTGTCTCAGGACACTGTACATAAAAAGAACAATGTAAAGAATTTAGCAGCAGATTGTGTTGAATCACTTCATCACAGTCTCCCATCCTGAGCAAACGGTGGAGAGGAAAAACTCCCTGCTAATCAGGAAGAAACCTCCAGCAGAACCAGGCTCAGGACAGGAGACCATCTGCCTCGACCGGCTGCTTGGAGGACAGGAAAGAGACACAGACAAACACAGAAGAACTGGTCCAGGACTGGTCCAGGTGCACCTTCTTCTGGAAGAGACAAAGAAAAAACATGATAGAAATAATAAGAATAATCATGTAGAGAAGAGAGACTAAAGACAACAGCAGTGTGAGGAAATGTGCTCAGTTTGTGCTCCAGCAGTCTAAGTCTATAGCAGCAGAAATGAAGAATAATTCAGGAAACCTAAGTCTAACTATAGGATTTATGAAAAAGGAAAGTCTTCAGTCTAATCTTAAAAGTAGACAGAGTGTCAGCCTCACGGACAGAAACTGGAAGTTGGTTCCACAAGAGAGGAGCTTGATAACTGAAAGCTCTGCCTCCCATTCTACTTTTAGAAACTCCAGGAACCACAAGTAAACCTGCAGTCTGAGAGCAAAGTGCTCTGTTAGGAAAGTATGGAACAATAAGATGTTTAATATATGATGGAGCTTGGTTGTTAACAGCTTTGTATGTTAGGAGGAATATTTTAAATTCTATTCTGAATTTGACAGGGAGCCAGTGGAGAGAAGCTAAAACTGGAGAAATATGATCTCTCCTTCCAACTCTCATTAAAACTCTAGCAGCAGCAGTTTGGATCAACTGAAGACTTCTTAAAAAGTTGTTTGGATGTCCAGATAATAAAGAATTACAGTAATCCAGTCTAGATGTGATAAATGCATGAATCAGTTTTTCTGCATCATTTTTGGACAAAATGTTTCTAATTTTAGTGATATTACACAGGTGGAAGAAGGTGGTCCTGGTAACATTTTTAATGTGGGGGTTAAAAGACATGTCCTGATCAAAAATAACACCAAGCTTCTTTACATTAGAACTGGAGGCCAGATTAATGCATCCAGAGGAGCTGAAAGGCTACAAAGTTGATCCCTAAGATGTTCAGGTCCAAGAACCAGAACCTCTGTCTTATCTGAGTTTAGAAGCAGAAAGTTAAGAGTCATCCATGTTTTTATGTCTGTAAGACATGCTTGTAGTTTAATAACTGGTTGGATTCATCAGGTTTCATGGATAAATATAACTGAGTATCATCAGCGTAACAATGGAAATTTATCCCATGCTGTTTAATAATTTTAACTAAAGGAAGTATATAGAAAGTAAAGAGGATTGGTCCAAGCACTGAACCCTGAGGAACTCCATGACTAACTCTGGTGTAAGAAGATTCATTATTAACATTAACAAACTGAGTAGTTGCTGTTGTCGTTTTCACTAACTGGACTTGTGGTTTTTAGGATTACTGAAGTCGTTACCCTTTCTTCTGCTCTTTTATTCCACATTTGTTTAGTGAGAGACATGCAGCAGATGTATGAACTGTGGCTTCAACTCACCAATCAGAACAGACGAACAGAAAACTCAGCAGTGACGCCACCGCCAGATGACAAACAAGTCACAATAACAGCAGATTACACAGAGGGCTTGGTAAGTGGGGCTCAGGATCCTCTCTCTCTGGCTTCTTTTAAGATTTCTCTGATTGGTCAGCTGCTGGATTGTTTTTGTGAGAGACGTGTTGTGTTTTGTTTCAGGCAGGCCAGCATCTTTCAGATGGTGACGACCTCTGAGTGTCTTAGAGTGACGGACCCGCCTCACCCACACCGACCAAACCATCTGATGACCTTCCACCAATGAGAAAGCAGATGCACATAAAATATTCCAATCCCAAGCTTGCAAACATTTACACAAGACTTTCAGCCCCCAGGATCAACAACTTTTAAAGTCAAATATACACGTTTGGCTTTCTTTTTTTCCCCTGAGATGCACCTTTAGGTTCTCCTTAAACAGACTTTTCTCACAAAGAATGAGTTTTGCTTTAAAACAATCTACTTGTATTCCTTAACTTCACGTGCCCACCTGCAGCTTCCTTCCTTCTGAGTGCTCCCTCAACTCTTGGGAGCGTGCGCCGGTCGCAGCCTTTAAAGCCCCCTGGCGACAGTTAAACATAACATTTAAATATGTACAGTTAAACACTTTTACATTTAATACTGAAACATTTAGAGCACCAAACATGCCAAGCTCACAGTACGTCTTACAGCCATAAAAACTGAAGAAACTATGAAGCATCGGCTAGCGATGGGCTCCTCACTAACCAGATCCTAGCTTCTGTCCCTCACAGATTTCACAGACAGGTTGATGGAACTTCATGGAGTTTCTGATTATTTTTCCCCAAGGTGAGTCCTTGTTATATTTTCTGCCATATTGGTGGAATGTTTTGAATGTAACGTCCGAATGGGTCTTCAAAACAAGGAAATTTAAGTGTTTAAAATGTTTGCTGTTGAAGTTTTGTAAAATAAAAATAAAAATAAAAAAAGGGAGGGAGAGAGAGAGAAAATGACACGCCCACAAGCTGTAGTTATTTAATCATACAACTGTTTGTGCAGGAGGTGTGAACAGACATGCAGTAACATTTAGATAATATTTCTGTAACACAAGCTTATATGTGGGCAGAGCTGTCACTTCACAGCAAGGTTCACCTCCCGCCTGGGGCTTTTCTAGGGTGGAGTTTTTCCCCTGGGTACTCCAGTTTCCTCCCACAGACCAAAACACATACGTTGGGTTCATTGGTAACTTTAAATTGTCCCCAGGTGTGAATGAGTGGGTGAGTGGTTGTTTGTCTCGGTGCGTGTCTGTGATGGAGTGAAGACATGTCCACGTGTCCCCCGTCTCTCATACAGTGACAGCTGGAAATAGACACCATCTCCCCTCAACCCAGAGAGGAAAAAGTGAGCAAAGAAAAGGAATAGAGGGGGTATCTGTCAGTTCCTTTAGGTTGAAAATGAAGGACTAAAATAACAATTAGGCACCAAAAGGTATGAGAGCTGAGGCTGAACTGCAGCAGGTTTGGATCAGCTGTTGTCAGAGAGTCTGGTGCTGGAGTTACGTAGAAGTGACAGTTGAACAAAATATAGTAATAGCTCTGATTCTCCGAAGCAGCGTTCTGTGAAACGCTTATAAACATTCAAAATGTCTGTGTTGTAGAGAGCGCTTTGAAAAACCCCACTTTAAAGAAATGGTTAAATTCAGAGGCTCATCAGGACAGAGTGGACAGCTGCCATCTTAAAGGGATCCCCGTTTAGCTGTAACATTAGACTTTATTTGATAAACATTCATTTTAAATGTAAAATAAAGACTGTAAAAATACTGTAGGCTGTTTAGTTTTGTACATTTTTTAAAATATATTTTAACACGGACGGAGCCATTTTATTTGCACACAAAGCATTCTGGGTAAATTATGATGTGGATAGGTCCTCAGTGAGCTATATCC